AGGAGGCAAGACTACTGGCTAAGAGGAGGACAAGCTTTTTTGGCATCTTTGTTATGAATGCCGCCTCTTGCATTAATCAATGCACCCTTAGCCGTTGTTGTGAAAAAAACGTTGCTGCTTCTTTTCAGGAGAATGCCACGGTGGCCAAGTGAAATAATCTAGTAGTTCGAGTTGTATGCACAGCTCTAATAAGGTGGCCACAAGCTTCCCGTAATCCCAGCCTAGTAGAATTGTCCTTGTAGCCCAGCTCTGTCACAATGCGCGAAACAGGGACAGTTTTACGATAGTTATTACGTTTTACGAGTGTCCAGTGTCTTCACCGAGTTTCGGCCGCCGATCAGTCCCATTTCAAGATGAAAAACGGAATGCTACTTCCACTTATGATTGTGAAGGCACATTGGATGCTATTCGACCTATCACATGCGAAAAGGCAACTAAGCTACTTTTTTGAGTCATCCCCCTCTAAAACGGATAGGAAAAATGAGTAAAAGATTATAGCCATTAAGGTACTATATAAAGTCATATCAAAATTGTATTATCTATGTAATGACTGGAGGGGGGGGGTGGGTCAGTCGATGTACACATCGGTGTTTTTATCGTCTCAGAGAAGTATTGTGCCGGGCAATAGCCTGTCTAATATTCGAATCCTTCACCGTGGGCTACTTCCCACTATATCATTGTACCCACGCGAATTTCAATGGAGCACAGCTTAATCCCCCCAAAAAAAGTGAAGAGAAACTGTACAATCACATCCAGGGATCTTTGTCCTAGCCGTGTGCAAGGTGAGGGGTCTGCAGCTGCAGAGGCGTGACACCTCCTCCACTCAGACGTGCACAGGAACGAGGCTGGAGGGTGGTGATACTCGGCGACCATTTCTGTATTCCGCCCGCGCTGCCGCAGAAACGGACGCACCCTTAACCATAGCCAAACGCGCCACTTGTCGGCGCCCGGTCTCGTTTTGTTGTCATTTACCGCTGCCTGCGTGCTCGCTACGTGATATTGATGTCGACAGATTAATGCACCATGGCGATAGCATGGGTAAAGCTCCAAACGGCACCCGAGTATCACTGTTGTTTGGCATTATTTCCGCGAGCTTCAAAGTGACGGAAGAGTTACATTTAAACAGCCCTCAGTCCGTTGTTTTGCACCTCTGAAAGAGCACCTTTGGAGATGAGTGTACAGTTTGTCTTCATGCAATTGGTAACATCATGGTATCCGTAAGGGGATGAGGGATGGAGGAACCCTGCTGTCAGAGCTACCTCTGCCCGTTCGCTCGCACTTGTACTGCACGACTTGCTAAAGTAACAGGTTTGGAGCATGTTTTTTGGGGTAAGAGGCGGCTCCAGAAACTCGTCCACTAATTGTATACAATCTTTCAAAAAAGTTCTCACAATTATGTAGTACATTCTATGATATTTTGCTGGACTAGCAGCTTAAATACTAATTAATTTTCTACCGTAGGGAGCGGAAGAAGCTAGCGGTGGAACCAAGTACTCAGGCCTGTCGTTCTTGAGTAGAACCGATTCGAAATATAATTGGTTCTGAAAAAAGGCACTAAAAATTGAGTGGAGAAAATTGGTATGATGCGTGGCTCATGTTTAGGAGTGTGAGTGAAGTGTGAAATCTGATGGTTGACCTGACGTGGGTCATCAATGACGAACCACGTTAAGGGAAATCTCTACGATTCTCAGGATCAAGAAGCCCTTGACGCACTGCCTTTGCACGCACGTGATCTATGGGATAGTCGAGCCAGAGAACTCAAAGTAGTAGCTCCCTTTGCGCTTCACACCACTGGAAGACTGAAGGAATTTGAGATGGCCGAAAGCTGGAGAAAAGCAGACGAGTTGATATCGCTGTACTTCCGTATTCTTGAGACTCGCGATGCAAAGTGATTTTCAGACTTTCCTTGAGCTTTTTGGCGAACGCAAGCCTTTAAATTACAACGGGGATTCCGTTCACGATTGCAAGTCTTCCTGCGGAAGACCTGGAGGAAGAACCACCTACTTCCAAATGAGTCGCCTGAAACTGTGGTTGCGTCAGGATCATAGTTTCCAGTCATACATTTATTTTCGGATTAGATAGTGCTGACGTAGGTGCTAATTCTCCGCCACATCGAGGGATAATTCGGCTAGTGCGAGAGAAGCACTGCAAAGCTTTGCTGAGAGCATGAGAGTGGCAATAAGCCCCGCCCGTCGACCGTTGGCACACCGCTATATGGAAGCGTTCAAGCGGCGGCAGCTTCGCATATGTGAGATTTTTTAAACTTTCATGGTCTCTTTTTGTGCCAATGGTCACTTAGCCATTATTTTGATGTTTTTCTTGTGACTTTACTTTGCTCATTATAAGTCAGTTTTTTATGAAAAAAAACATTGCATCGAGCAAGCGACTTGTGGGCGGTCTGAAAAGCTATTACAGCCCTAATGAAAAATGCTTGCAGTGAGTTTTTAGAGTGCCAGAACTCGATGGGACTATGATGGCCCACCCGCACCCAATTTGGTCTTCAAAATATTGCTATCAATCGAAGGCTGGGCCACAATCCACACTTGAAACTACCATACTGCTCCGAAAATTTCCTGTTTATCCTGGGGCTCATTGCACCAATCAGAGAAAAATTAGGCAATAAATGACTGAAATAGCTCTCGTAAAGACCAATTCGTATATAATGAAAGCTGTCTCCAATGAACAGATAAGAAGCCCACATAAGTAGAAGCCAGATGGTAGCGCTGAGAACGAAGCTTCATTACAATGGTTTCGCGGAGAAGTCACTAATGTTTCAACAGTGGACTGCTACGAGCTAATAGAAACAGCCTGAGCCAGCTTCCGACTTATGACCCCCTTGGGGGGGGAGGTGGTGAACTGGAAAAAGATGACGGTTACCATGCGTGCACGGTCGAGAGATCAGATCATGAATAGCTCTTTTGGTGCCAACAAAACCTTTTTTCTGAAAGCATACAAAGCCTTGTATTTCTTGGGGAGCGCTGGCTCGGTGCCAAATTCACTGGAAGATCAAGGATCTTGTCTTGTACAACGGTTGAACGCACAGTTCCTTTTGTTGCCCGCGTTATGTTCAAAAGGTAGCACGATTCTAAATAGCAGTGTGTAGTGCGTGGTTAATCCGAGAAAGTGAAGATTCGACTCGGAATGTTCCTCCTTTATCCTCGTGAACTTTTATCCTCCCAACCATCATTCGAGTCCTTCGTTTCGCTCTGAATCCATGTAGGACCTGGTATGAACATTAGAGTGCGCCGAATTCGGCCCAAATACACCTAGTTCAATCCCGGGTTTGGCCGCAGTGCGCCGCTTCCGTTTTGAACCTTCAAGCTCGATGTGGCTTCATCTACTGACTTAGGATTACCTCCCAGTCCTTTTCGCTGTAAATGGCACTAACGCATGTCTAGACGTCAGCGTTTATTTTAGCTTGACGAGGCAGCTGCCTAATCAGAGCATGCCATTGTTATGCAAAGGTTGCGTTCTTGCGTCTGGGTCACGTCATACAGTGAAAGAGAGTAAGTAATACTGAAAGTTTTCATCGCATGACATTACATAGCTTCTCCTAGAGATTGAGCAGACTACCTGTCCTATGTGAAACCCGCCACAATGTGGCCTGCTATATGTTAGCGGATAGTACAGTAGAGGAATTAGTGAAGGGGCAATGATGAGGGTTAGTACAACACACTTCCTTTCTTCCTTCTTCAGGCACCTGAACCAATTCTTTTACCTTGCATTCCAAGCACACAATTATGCGCAACTGCTGGTCTGGCACAGGTCGAATTCGAGCAGCGTACTTTCCTCTTATGACGCCGGAATTCAAAATCCCGCCGCTGATTCTGACCTCTCGGGATTCTTCTCAATTTTCTGAAAACCTCTTCTGTGCGCATAGGTATGCCGGAATTATCAAGATACATAGCCTAGTGGTACTAGCTCCAAATGGTATAGTAGCCCGCTGCCCTATCCCCTTTGCTTTCCTGCCATTCCTCTATATGTCGCCACATTTTGAATGGGATGACCTAATACTTTCAGTAGTGTATTTGCTATGAGTGTGGCGTGCTGAGGAAGTTATGGTCACTCAAAGTATAAAAACTCGCCATACTTCGCCCATCAAAAAACAACATAAAATTCTCGAACTGGGAAAGGTCTAGAGCAGGTTCAGGACAACTGCCAAGCGATAAACCTTGACACTTCTTACACCTCATCACACAAGGACATACCTATCATCCTTATTTCTTTGGTCATGCTACTCCTTCGATCCAAACATGCATTTCAATCTGTTTTTGTAGGTCGATCAACAGGGCGAAGGCGAGCGCCGAAGCTGTCAACTCAGATGAAATCGCTGTCATTGGATTGTCAAGAGATGCCGCCACGAATCAACGCTGCAGCTCGGAGTCCAATGAGTTCGTTTACTTTATCCGTTACTTTGTGGCAATACGTCACCGTCGTCATTCAGACCTGCGATGCTAATAATCTCCAGGAAGCTTCTATCACATTTCATTAAGGCCTCCGTTCTTTTTCTCGTAATCCATAAATGTTTTTCCATGCGAACAATGAGACAGACATTTGCCAACCCCGTGATTCATTGCGGCTTGACGGGCTTGATTAAGAAGGCGGAGATGCTGGGGCTATTGTCGAGAATTTTCATCATCTAGGGGGAAGTCCTAATCAAGAAGACAAGAAGAATAGCCCAGGTCCGAGCTGAAAGTGCGCAGTTTTTCAAAAAAGAACAGAACCCATCGTAGAACTAGTTGCGTAAGTGGGGACCGTCACCTAGAAGCAACATCCCGGAATACTAATATTGTCAGAATGTTTCGATCTATTTGAATTTTTTGGATCACATATTCGAATAGATATTTCAGGAACGAAAAAGATGACCGGACATCTTCGCGGAAAAAATGGTTCGTCCGATCTATCTGACTGGGATCGTAGTTGCTCGCCATGCAACGGTAACAGCAGACGTGGCAGTGCCGTAGCCAGTAAGTTTCTCTTCCCAAATACTGCCAACAATATATTTTCTGTAGTCTGAAAACCGCTCGATTCTGGCCTTTCAGATCTGACCGGTGGCTACGTAGTGATTCATGAGTATGCGCCCCCGAGCGGTGCCGCGCCACTAGTCTTAGGTGAACGGGTACATGTCGTAGATAACGGCGATCCAGACTGGCTCCATGGCTTCCGGCAACACGACAGGTAAACGCTTTCAACTTTGAATTCGAATGATTTGACTAAAGTGAACGTCTGTTCGTTGAAGATTGAGCTACTGGATGTCCAATCCTGCGTTTGAATGCTTCAATACTCTCCGTCAGTGTTTTGACGACTAGAGAGTATAGA